GAAATAGAATAAGTATTAAGATATAATATATATAAATTTTATAATTTTTGACTACATAGTTAATGATTTAAAAATTGATAAAGTTGAAATTTATAATAAAAACATAGCAAGTGGACTCAAATTTTTTAAAAAAACCATGGTATATTAATAATAAATAAATAAAAAATAGCTAAAAATACAAAATTAATTTTTATAGATATTTAATAGTGTATTTTTATTATTTTTTTTATAATAAATATATAATATATAAATTAAAAAATATTTTTTGTGGTTTTTAAAAAATAATAAATTGATAGGATTTTAAATTAATATTTTAACAAAAGACAAAGAAATAAAATTAAAGTAAAAACTATAGAATATACAATTTAATATACTAAATAATAAGTTTTCAAATTAATTTTCCATTATAAATAATGTTGCAAGAAATTTGTAAATACAATTATACTAAACTATAAAAAACAAAACTACCTAAAATTTCTTTTTAAAATAATAATAATAATAATAAATAGTCATTTTTAAAAAATTTATTAAAACAAAATTTTTTATTTGTTTTATTTTATCAAATATTCTAATGTTTAAAAAATAATTTTTATCCTTTGGATTGTAAGTCTAAAGATGAATACATATTAGCAATGTACCAAAAGTCACGACATGAAACACGTGATTATGCCGACGCGACTTTATTTAACTCGTCATATCTCCAATAAGCCTATCACGATAGCCGAGTCAAATGTGCATTAATACTGTATGCATAGATAGTGCAATAGTAAAGTATAAAAATGATGTAAAAATTGTGTGTAAAAGACAAGTCGTAAAGAATAAAGAGAAGTTTGATCGTAAGAGCAAGTTGCGAGAAGCACTTGTTTGACTAGATGTAATGCCTCTTTGCCTTTAGTGTGTGCCTTCGCGCAACTTTGTTACGCAAATTTATCCCCGGGATAGATGAAAATTAAGAAAAAATTGTAATTTCTTTTAATCAAAAATTTAGATTTGTCCTCATCTACATTGGTAAAAAAAACTCTTACTCGTATTTAATTAACAGAATCTTTATTAAGTCGAAACATAATAATGAAAATATACAGAATAATATACGGGATTTAAACATGAAACAATTTCGTAAAAAAAATATATGCAATTAAATTTACCTTCTCTCCGCAATATGCACGTGGAAAACGCAAATATTAGAAGTTAAATTTATTCTCAAAAGACTCGACCAATTTATTGAGGGGATTTTCATCCGAACAGTCAAGTTCTTCCATAAATTGGTGACCTATCTCAAGGAGATATGGAACGCTCTCGAAGTCATCAATTCTTATCGGTTCTTCTAACCAGACTTGCCATCTTTGATAACGATTTCCCAGTTTTTCGTGCATTTCGCAATCAATATTGTCTTCTTGTGTAGATAATGTGAAGATATCATCATTATAGAAATTTTGTGACCAGAAAAGTTTATCCCAATATAGATTTGGTCTTAAAGGATCCGGCCTACAATTTCCTGTACCCAAGGAAAGTATAGAAAATTTTTTATCCGATACATTATATCGAATAGCTTCATTATAGGCTGTCAATGTCGGGTTGTTTAGATAAATTCCCCCGTCTAAAAAAGATTCATTGCCTATATTATGAGCCGGGAATAAAGTGGGTGTAGCTGTTGTGGCCATTAAGATATCAAATAAACTGCCATTTTGCGAGTTATTGCGAGCATCGTAACGCGTAAACAAATGAGGTCGCTTTATATTTTCTTTTTTTGCAGCTGGAATAACTAGCTCAGTAAGTACCTGATCTAGTCTTATTTCGCGAAATTTTTCCCTGAATAACTTTGAACGGCCAGTGTTTGTATATTTTTCTTTCTTTAGAAAGGGAGCTGGGGTAAATAATTCTTTCGCCTCACTCACGTAAATATCCAATAAGTCCGAAGCAAAAAATCTTGGTTTCGAATTAGAATAATGCCGACAGTCCAGCAGCAATGATCCCACCGGTTGAAGTTCCGGCTATCATATTAAATAAATGAGAGATGGGTTTATGTGCACGATATTCTATCTCGCTAAGCCATAGAGCCGGTAATACCGCACGTATACCTCCTCCATCAATTGATAAAATGTTGTAAACGGGATTCTCATTGCTACGAGAATTTTTTAAGTTATCCATTTCAGAATTTATCTTGACTTTACCACTTTTGTAGAGGTGCATTCGATATTTTGTTATACTTTCTTCGACGAGTCTACCGAGAAGTTTCTTCTGCTTTCCTGCCAATGTGTTTGTGGGATCTAGTCTCAATGCTTCATTAATGCACCCATTAGACTCTTTAAAATTGGCTCTTTTGCAGTATGCAATACTTCGAAGGCGCCAATATTCCGATACTGAATCCAAAATGTGGCTTCTATTGAGAAGTTCAGTAACTTCGGTGTACTTGGACAGTTTTAATGAACATCTTGCTATTATGGATTTATTTAAGTGTCGCCCAGAAGAGATACAACGTGCAAAAAAGACGATTTATGAAGTCAAAGATTCTATGATCCACAATTACCAGTTTGTTAGTACAATGAATTCGCGGTTAGAAAATTTTCCACATACCAGTCGACACAATCCCATATAGATCGTCGTAATCCTCGGCCTTAAATGCTTCTTGTTC